CAGAAAAAGAGATTAAAAATTAAACGTGAAACGTTTCCATTCTCGTGTTTTTTGTTTCACTTCGTGGATTTTGTTAAATTAGTGGAACATTTGTCTCTTATTCTTAGGTGTCCCTTCAAATGAAAAGCAGTTCATTCCACTTCTGCGGCGGCTCTGTCCTTAATGAAAACTATGTCATCACCGCGGCTCACTGTGTCGAGGGGTAAGTATTCGAAAAATTGTTGTTTTCAATCCTTTCACTACTGGACATGAGATATCTTATTATTATCACTTGTGTGATATTATGGATGATACATGTATGTGTCTCGCGTCACAATGTCCGTTACCTGGTGCTACGGACAAGATACCACGCGTATCTTATATTAAAGAATCTGGTGCATCTTACATTACGAACTTAATCTAAAAATTTGAAGCAGAATTTTTAATAGAAAAATGGACGGTAGTCGCTATATTTTTACCTTTATTATACAATATGAAATGCTTCCAATGCTAATGTGACACATAATCCAAGATAATAAGATACAGAAGGAAATCGCAAATAGCATTAGTTCCTAACATCATATAACAGATGCAATATGATACATCGCATTCATAGCATTGTACATGTGACACAATGATAGGGTGGTATCTCTTCCATAATAACGAACGGGTTCCTATTACGGAATCCTATTACGTACTCATTGAAATATGAAAACATGTACAATTATAAAAGGATATTTCTTTAAAGACAAACTGCGCCGAAGATAAAAGTCGTCGCCGGTACAATCGACTTATCCAAATCAGGCTCTGAGCACAATGTTCAGAAGATCATTATCCACGAAAAATACAACCCTGACGATTCTTGGAAGAATGATATAGCCTTACTCAAGGTATTTAAATATTTTTAGACTGCGAGTTTCAATGCAAAATAAAATTTATAACATACAACTTAACAAATGTGATTTAAATAGAAACTTTCATCACTTAAATATTGTGACGTGCATGCAGCTTTTGATATTTCATGTAATTTCGTACATTATATGTATCCTTTATATTTTCTCTATATTCTCTATATTTCTATAAATGCTTCAAATTAAGATGACGTCAAATCGAAATGAATGCTCGTGTGTGATTCTGGCGTATCGTTACAGGTGGAGAAGCCATTCGTGAAGTCGCCACAAATTTCTTTCGTGACCCTTCCATCGGTCAGTGACGTTGTTCACGCGAATGATTTGGCAACGGTCTCTGGATGGGGTAGACTTTGGGTAAGCAGATGACCAATCCTCTATTTTCGATTTTCCTCTTTTCTTAAAAGAAATATTTTTAGCATATAAATATGTATATTTGAGTTTTTTTACACCAGTTTAGTACACCAGTACGTGTTCCGTTTGTGATTTATGATTACAGCAAGGCGGACCCACAACTATTTACCTTCAACGTGTAAATATCTTGATTGCTGATCAACAATACTGTAAGCTGATATACAGCAAACAACATTACAATGTCTACGATTCGCAAGTCTGTGCGTACGATCCAACTGTTCAGAAAGGTTCATGCCACGTAAGTTTCACTTTTCTTACTGTTTCATGGCGAATTAGGTTTTTCATAATTAATTACGTTGATCATAGGTTCTTTATTTAACCACTAATTTAATAGGTATTTTATTTCACTACTTTGTTTTTTATTAGTTTCCCCAGAATTGCTATTTTGTTCTTCACTTTGTGAAGTGAAGTAGTAAATTGAATGTTAAAACTTGAAATAACTCTACGCAGTATGAGGACATGATATTAACTTTAACACTATAGAGTAAATATAATAATACAATTCCTTAAAATATTGCCGTCATTATGTCGTTTACTACAATTTATAATCGTTCAGTTTTAGTGACGCAAATAAATACAACCTTCTTTGTCTTGTTATAAAAGAATATTTTATTTGTCCTCCAAGAAAATATGGTCACCGTATTCATGTTTGTATATTAAATTTTCATGCACGAATTTGAGCTACTGTACATCGTAGTATCTCATCGAATTGACTTCATTCTCTTTCATAATTAAATTGCATTTTTATTATTGATTTATGAGATTGTTTGACATTTCAAGAGAATCAAATTAATTGCTTTTGTACCTGCAACGCAGTGTCATTGAAATTGTGAAATAAATGTGGTTCTCCCTTTCTGTACAGGGTGACTCCGGTGGTCCCTTGACCGTCAACGGAAAACTCACGGGACTCGTTTCTTGGGCAATGGGCTGTGCCCTCACTGACTACCCCACTGTCTACACGCGTGTGGCATCTCATCTTGATTGGATAAAACAGAACGCCATATAAATCTAATGAAACTTGAACAGGAAGAATCAAGAATTGTACATGACTTTTTAACACTCAGATATTTTTACATTTCAAAAACCAACGACATGTACTATTCTAAGTTACGTTTTGTTACGTGTATATTCATTTTATAAATGAGTAAATTCTTTATTTAATAATGTACAATGTCTACATTTTTTAGCTCTCCGTTACCACGCCTCTTTTACGAATTATATTGTCACGCTGGGTCGTTCAGTTCAATTTTT